AGGAAGACAGTTACTAAGAAACAGGCCTCCAAACACATTTATGTAGCCTTCCTCCCCAAAAAGACATTTGTGTGCAAATCTGAATGAAAGCTTGCTTTATTTCACTGCCCTGAGATTAATGAATCACATGAACAGAAGTGGAAGTCACGACATAAAGCAAAAAGAGCTGGTCTAGTAACCACAATCTCTTACCTACTGTTCATGTGCACCAGCTCTAGTTTGGTCTGCTTTGTCTCTAAACTGTTGCTGTTTGCACAGAGTGAATTTCAGCATTTGCCTCCTGGAGATTTTATCATCTCTGTGGAAGTGTATCAGCCTCTCAAAGCAGGTCTAGAGATTTTAGCAACAGCTTGGCACACTGGCTCTATGGCCTTCTGCATCCCAAGAGCCCAGACATGGGCTGAAGGAATGTTATAGTGTGTTAACTGAGTAACTGGTCCTTTCCTCCAGGCAGGGCTCCATTCATTTCCTGCACTGAGCACCACTCCACTGAGGGCATCAAGGAAAGATCAACCTTTTGTAATCCACTTTCCAGTCCTACCAGTAGGCAGGAACTTTGCTGTGACTGAAGATGTCTGAGAGGACATCTCACCTTGCTACTTTAAATGTAAGTCTAATTCGTTTTAAATCTAAGGAGTGTATCTGGTTCTTTTGCTGATACCACAATCACTTTCAGCTTATTCCAAGAGTGTGACATCTTTTCAGCTCCAAAAGCTTTCCAAAGGGACCAGGCAATGGTTCTCAGAGAGGAACCTCTAGACAAAGTGCCCAAGCCATGGAAGGGAGAACATATTGACAAAGAGTAGAAACTCTGTTTGTATGTGCAGCTGTGTGTCCAGAGGAAAGTATGTGCTTGCATGTTACCCAGAAGCCAGAGAAGATTTCCCATAGATTTCTTAATCTTATGAATAGTTTCAAGAGTAAAAAATCTCCCAAATCCAAAAGCATCATTTCAGCCTTACTCATTTCAGAGCGTCCCCAGCTGACACTTTGAGCTCTGCAGAGAGGATGACAGTCTGGGTGCAGTTCCAGGGCTCAGCTAAAGCAGTCCGACTCCAAGAAACTGTTTTGTCTTGTGTTCCATCAGAACAATTTCAGCTGCACAGACCTTTGATAATTATAACAGAATTGAGTATATATTGGAATTGCACTTACTCAGGCATTTTGGCTCTGGAGACCAGCCCGTTTCGGAACAAAAACTTCGAACCCAGGGATTTCCAGTGGGGGTTGAATAATCCTGGAAACAGTAGTAGTCAACACTCTGCCCAAATCTCCTTGGAAAATAATAGTGTCTGTTGTTCTCATATGTGTAACTTAACTTGCCGTTTTCTATGACTGGGTAGTCACAAGGTTTCGCTTGAAATAGAATTTAAGAGCAACAATGTCAACACATGCATGATAAAAAGCTCAGCACACAATTAATTCAGATTCAGCCTCATCATCTGGGTGTTTTCAGAAACGGACAGAACCAGGACTGCCCACCCTGGCACACCCCTCAGGAGTGCGGGAACAATCGCACTCTGCTGCTGGTGTCTTTGGCAGTGCTTATAGCTCTGTCATTTCCCCCAATTCCATTGCAATCAACAGAAATCCAGGAAATATTCTCAGTGGACTCCAAAGGCTGATTCATGAGACTAAATATAAATATTTATTCTACAGTGAGATGACATTGTCCTTGTAGAGGGTCTGGACTAAATTTACTATGCTGACTATGATGGGAGCCCAGACATGTGGCTCAGATATAGAAACTGACCTGTACAATCTTAAAATTGAGATGACTCCTGTTACCACTTCCATTTGTAACTTTTGGGACCCTGCACCAAAAGCTTTTCCTTACTCTTCTCATTTTTATTTTAAAATTTTATTTTAAAATTGTAATTTTGTTCTCTTGGTTCCTCAAAAGAACTGACCTTTTTCAGGGAGAAGTCAAGGATAGAAGGAGGAGATTCCCAGATGCTTTCATTCAAGTTTATCTAGGTTCCTCCTGAAATGCTCTGATCCAGAGCCTACCTACAGAGGTAGGGCAGACCACCCACTGGACAGACCATTCAATAATGAATGAAGTCGTCTCAGAATGATACCTGAATTTTGGAACTCATACTAATATAGAGAAAACATTAATACAGATATTTACAGAGCACTTTTCAGAAACAGCTCAAATCATCTTATCCAAAGGTTCATTTACAAGACCGATTCCATCAGGGTTTCTCTCACAATCTGTTCTAAGTTTTTCTTTTATTTTCAATGACCAAAGATCAAAGAGTGCTAGATTATGAAACTAATTGCTAATTTATATATTAGTTTTTTTATGCTGTGCCTACTGGACAAAACTATCATTGTAGTTATGGGAAGTTTAAGCCAATAAAGAACTCATCAACCATCAAGAATACCTTGTTTTGTTATCTGACAGGTTATAACAGATAGAAATACATGTGACTATTCATAAAGCCAACTTACAACTCCAAGTAAAAATCTAAAGCTCTGACAGCTAAGAGGAAAGACATCTTCCAACCATCACCTATAGTTTGTACTTAAACACTCATGATGTCCTCTTCTCTTGACTAAGATGCTCCTTGGGTGGGGCACAAGTGAGCTGACTATAGCACATTTTAACAAATTCACAAATACAGTAATAGATAATACCTGTGTTAATAAACATAATGTAAATATTGATTAAACCACTGTTTTATAGGTGATTTTTCTAAATGATCACATTAAGCTTTACATCACAAAGAAAAAAAATGAGTGACTCCCATGCCTACTGATCCCTGAGTTTTGCTCTTGACCTCTTTTTCTCTCAGATGCTTCTAACAACTCTACATTTTGTGTCTTCATCCATGAGAGCTACTTACAGACACAAGCTGGCTCGGGCACCCAGCCATTCCCGGTACATTCAGCTGTGTTTCCGCCAGTCAATGCTTTAAAATGATACCCAGGATCACACTGTATCGTGATTGTATCACCCGCTTTGTAGCTGCCTTTGTCAGGTCTAAAATCCCCATGGCTAACTACTGGAGGAGAGCATACGATTTCTAAATAAAAAGAGAAAAAATGAAGAATATGTTTAAATTTATTGCTTAAGTTCTTGTTTTCATAGTATATTGACCATAACTGCATAAAATTTTTAAAAAGATGTTTCTTAGGGCAAAGAAAAGATTACATTCCTCTCCTACTCTTATAGTTCTGTAAGAGAAGAATGACAGCTGTTACTGATGTCATATTAAGTAGAAGCTTAAAACTAAATTGCAAAGGGAATGGTTGAAGGAAGAACTGGAGGAAATCAAACTGAATCTGACTAATTTTTTCCAGGAGGTCTTTCTGCAGCTGGGTTATGCTGGGCTCATTTATGGACACTGTCCCAAAGTAGGGCAGTGTCACTAGCAGGTCCTAAAGGAAGAAATATCTACACTCAACTAGGAACTGATCATTCAAAGGCTGTGTGATTAAGATTAGGGACTTACACTGACACTGGAAGTATTTCAACAACTGAAAAAGGTCAAGAATCTTCTAAAAACTCATGGTATCCTTAGGCTCAGAGGAGCCAGGAAAATGTATTCTTTATAAAACAGAATCTGTCCTTTAGATTTCTTGTATTCTACTTCCAATTCAGAAAAAAACACCAGCACCCTCAGGGCAGGGAGGGAATGACTAGGGGTTGGTCCTGCTGTGAAGGCGGGTGAATCAGTTGCATGCATGTACTGCTGAATCATCTAGGTTCAGTGATAAGTCAAGTAGGATCCAGAACCACTGTTTGAATATGCCCCAAGTATCAGAGCCCAGTATACTGGTGTCTAGAAGAATGTTTGTTTGGCACTTCTCAAAAGCAGTATGTTGCTCAAATGTAGGCGGTGCATATTAATTAGTACCATTACTAATCTTGAAGCAGAAAGGTCAAGAACTGAGTGGGCCCCAGGACTGACAAGTCTTTATTTCTAAAGGAGTCTTTCTGGAAGAGGTCCCAGGAAGGTAGGTGGTAAATAACATCCTACAATGTCGCCCTGTTGCCAACATTTTTTTCCAGTCTCAAGAGTTCGGCAATTTCTTGAAGACAATTCAAAGCACTAATATTTTCCCCAAAATTTACATCAAAGTGCTTCAGTTGGGACATAACATGCATATTTCTGTTTGCTGGATTTAGAGATTTAAATATAGCCTGTAAATGCTGTAATTGAATTAAACTAAAATCCATGACCCAGAGGGCTGATGTCAAACAAGACTAGCCTCAAAAATTATGGATTTGTCATATACACTGCCCAGAAGGCATTTGAGAGTTAGAAAGCAATAGAGAGCTTTAGCATTGTAAATATATTAATTTGTAGAGATTCTCAGACAATTTCTGATGTGAAGTTTGAACGCTGTGGATAATGTGGTTGTTCAATTACAGCTCTGATGACATTAAACATATTGCTGTCTTCATCCTAGACTAAGGGTCATCAACAAGGGCAGGATTCATGCATCCCATGGTCCTTTGGTCTCTGTTTATACATAACTTTATGTCCATGGTTCTTAGGGCTAGTGATCATCAAATCTATGTTGCACACAATTCTTGATGAAATGTCTGTGTAGAAAGTACTATTGTTTTCAGCTTTACGTGTAATCCAGCACTAAAAGTGCATTTTAATTTTCAGCTTACACACTTATGGCCATCAATAGACTGAAATTCTGAAATTGGACTACTTCACTTTTGTTTGATCTCCTTTGGAATTGGCCATATCAGCTACAGATTGTCCTTCCTACAACACTATCCTACTATGTCAGAAGAGCTCTTGAAAGGCATCTTACAAACTTCAGTCAGGATTTTAATTTGAAACATACTCTGAAAGATGTTTACTGTTGTAATTGCCAATCATTTCTGAAAGGTTGCACAGTATACCAACGACTTCTTACTGAAGATCCATTAATGAAATACGAATCTTTTTTGAATTGTTTCTCTTTGGTTGGAACTGGTTGATCAGAACTAGTAGTCTGGGATTTAAAAGAATGGATATAATGACTGGCAATCAGGTGCTCAGTCTGTTCGTGAGTAAGACTCATCAGGACACTCAGAAAAAAATGCAGAGGTCAGTTCAGTAAGTCAAGCAAACTTCTATTGTCTCAAATGTTCACAGAGAGTGAGATGCTGAGTGGTCTTTTACTGAGTGTTTAGTCCTTTGATTACAAGGAGCAGAGTCTTGGTTATGGTGACACAGCATCTCAAATACCTGAACATGGAAGACCTGAAGATGCATTAACCTCTATCTCTCCCTCAAAGAACTGCTTGTGATTCATCAGGAGGTCATCAAGCTAAGACTATTTAGCTTTTCTCACTTTTATTCATACTGCTGCTATTCCTATGGTATCAAACAAATATTTCCTTACTCAATCTTCCAACTTACAGCACAGTCTCTGACTTGTACCAGTTGTGTCCATGTTAAACACACTTAAGAAGGTATCAAGATTTTAGGTGAAGAAATAGGACTTTTTGCCACTTTTACAAGAAGCTGGTTTCAATATTTGATTTTTTCATACCATTAAAAATTTTGGATTCCTTCCGCAGCTGGAATTTCTCTGGTACTAATACTTTTTTTCCTGCTTGCTTAAATATTCTTTCTAGTGTCTGATTTTTTTCTATTCCTTTGATAAAACATTTTCACTGTGTTTTGTAGAGGGTATTCAGCTTTATCCTTCCTATCTCTGCAAATTAGGATTTTCTAACTCAAGAAATCTTCTTCATATGGTCTTCCCACTGACTTAGAATTATATAAAAATACAATATAATAACAACTATAATGCACCTACCAATGCTGAATGAAATATTTTAGCATCACTCTTGATTATGTAGTATACTGGAGCAATTGTTGCTTTGTGGACCTCTCAATCTACACTCAAGTTAAAAAAAAACAAACCTGAATTAACTGCTTTTGCTACTGCTCTCCATGGAAAATTCTTATCCAGTTGCTTGGTCCCTTTAGTATTTAATCCTTCCAGATCTTCATGGATATTGGTTAGATGTGGATGGATTTATTTTGTTACTGATGCCTTAAGCCCCTAATGTTTTTTTATTTTTCTAATATTTGTAAGACTTGTAAGTTTTATAAGTAGTGGAAGTAGACTCTAAAAGCAGCCTCCCTTACATCCCTTTCTTTGTAGCACCCTTGTTTACACATTCCTTAACCCTCTAAACCACAGAACATGGTCAAAAACTGGGTAACTATGTACCCTTTGTGCTCTGAGGGAGATGAAGATGGGATGAACAGGGGGTCCCGAAATGCACCCCAGACCCATTTTCAGGGGGTGGACCCGGGGCAGACCAGAGTAAAGCCCACAGGGTGGACACATTTGGGATTGGATGGAGGGTATTATAAAAATGTAACCTCTCGGGCACAGGGGCGCACATCTTGTAACATCTTTAGCCTTGGCAAAATAAACCCTTTCTTATCTCACCCCTAATTAACTGCTCCAGGAGATTTTTCAGCACCTAAATCCCACAGCAACATTACGAATAAACTTATTAATCTCTGAAATTACTTCCAAACCCAACAAATGTGTAAAACCACTTTAGGCCAGACTAACCAGTGCAATAGGGAGGTGGATTCCATCCTGTTTCAGTGCACAGTGCATCTGATCTGTCACCAAATCTGTATCCATCGTTACAGGCAAACCGCAGTATTTCCGATTCCTTGTAAGACTGCTTTGGAGAATGTACATATCCATTTGGAATTTCTGGCACATCACAGCTAATATCTGAAACAGAGAAAGACAAAAAGCCATGTATTCTGGTTTATTTTTACTTGCTAAGCATAAAATCCTATTGTAATAAAATTTAGGTTTGGGGTTTTTTTTAAATTTGAATTCACAAAAACTTTTGCATTTGGAAACTGTTTGAAACTTATTTGAGAGCTTTTCAGTGACCTGATTGTGGATTCCAGGTAGAAAGTAGTACAGCATCAGTTGCAAATTGATTCATGAGACAGATTGCAGGGCTTTGCTTTGGATTTTAATGGATCCCAGAATCAATATATAATGCAGAATATATTCCAAAATCAGAAACTAGGTTAGCTGAAATTTAGGATTTTCTGTTTTCAGATAATTTGTTTGTAGTTTCCAGAAAACCTAGTGCACTCCTATAGCCAATATAGTATTAGTTAAATCATTACATCAAAAGGAAAAAAGAATTAAAGTATCTGGAAAACTGACACTAGAATGCTTAACTATCTATGAAAGAACATCAGCAACGCCGGCTCCTTGCCAAACCCAATGAAAACACCAAGATCTTGCAGTTTCCTAAACCTGAGTTCATAAAACCAGAAAATATTCAAGGTTTTGCTTCCTCGGTCACAGAGCAGAACACCCAAGAGTTCTCCTGGATTCCTTTGCTGAATTTACTTTGTATTTAGGATGAAATATAGCTCATTGGAACTGTCATTGTTTAATGAAATTCACTAGATTCTGCAAATGTTACAAGTACATGTTTCATTCCACTTTTGAGGTGGGATTATGCTATAAATGATAATAAATGGGGATTTCAAAGCAGCAAAATGCAGCGCTGAAATTGTGAACAAACCATACATGTATCTGCCATGCTGATAGACATACTCTGCTCTTCTAAACACATGCTTCCTGATCAGATAACATATAAATAATATAAGCAGCTTGATAGTCTGAGTATTTAAGTGTTTGTTACCATAACCTTCCTGGGATTCCTTCTTACATAGTGATAATCCAATCCCATACAATCTCTGTTCTCAAAATGGGAGGAATAACTCCATCCACCTGTAAAAGCTGCAGGCAGGGCAGCGTGGGGTCCACTGGCTGAAAAGTAGTTTTGCAGAAAAAAAAAGATCCTGATGGACACGTTGAAGAGTGGCCAGAAATGTGCCTTTGCAGCAAACAAGGAAAACAGCATCCTGGGCTCCACTGGGGAGAGTGTTGCCAGCAGATCAAAAGAGGTGATGCTTTCCCTCTACACCTCCCCACGTCCAAACTCCTCAACAGAGGAAAGATATGGACATATTGGAGCAAATCCAGTGAAGATAATTAAGGAATTGGAAAAATTGACAGATTAAAAGAGATTTAAGAGAGTCTAGAAAAAAGAAGTCTTGGAGTAGGGGAGGAAGGGTCTTTTTTATATGTGTAAATTCCTGACTTTTGTGGGGCAGGCAGAAGTAAAGATGATGCAGCCAGACCTCTCTCACTGGCAGCCAGCCATACTAGGAGAAGGGGCAATGAATTGAAATATGGGCATGAATTGACATACAGGAAATACCACTTAAATATTTTTACTAAAGGGTGTTCAAACACTGTAATGGGTTACCCAGAGAGGCTGTGGAGTCTCTGTTGCTGGAGATATTCAAAAGCTGACTGAACATACTCTTGAGCAACTTGCCCTAGCTAATTGCTCTTCAGAGGTCCCTTCCAGCCTCGCCTCTTCTGTGGTTCTGTAAAAACTAAACATGAACCTTCTAACTTGTAAAAACACCTTAGCGTGAAGAAAGAAAAAACCCACCAGGACTTTTTTTGTATTCTATATACCCTAAGATTAAAAATCCTACTTGTTTATTTTTGGTTCACATAGATTCAAAATAATTTCTAGTTACTTTGGTTAAATTAACACTGAAGTGATTGAATTTCTGGTAGACATATCAAAGTTATTTTCAAAGAATTTGACTGCAGTCTGGCAAAACATTCAGCTTGTAGTGAAAATGTGAACAAACAGATGGTCTATTATGATTATATTAGGATCCAATATTATCACATTTCTCTTTCTTATCCTACTTCTTCTTCATATATGCAACGGAGATTGTTTACAGACGAACTATGTTTAATTGCTGTGAAATAAAGTAAAAGCTTTGTAGCTTCCCATGTGGTAACCAGTCCTTAGGAGTCTGTGAGAATAAAGTTTCTTAATTACACATTGTAAGTAGCGTCCTTTTTACCTTGACACTGAGGCACATCGTTACTCCATCTTCCATTAGATGAGCAAATTATTTCTTTAGCTCCAACAAGCTTGTATTTTGCATTACATTCAAAATTTACAACTTGGCCAAAGGCATATTCTTGGTCTAGCTCAAATGCACCAGCCATAATTATTCTTCCATTTTCTGGTGCCTGTACAGGTAAACACTTTACCACTGGAATAATAAAACAAAACAAAAGGAAAGGAAAAAAAGAAGTAATTTTGAGATCTAGTCTGTAAAATAAATTGACACACAAAAAAGTGAAAATACAGAAAACTCACTGTAATTTCCTTACACATTTAAAAAGTATACTCTTAGTTTTGCATTCAGATACCATTTTCAGCAGATATAATACAACCCCCTAAGGAAAAAGACAGACTGACACAGGAAGAAGCTTATAGACCATCTCTCATCATCCTCTTGTCTGCCCTTGAAAGCTAAAGACAGAGCACTCACTAAACTACATGGCCTCCTGGGGTCTCACACCCAATCTAAATTATACTATAAGCTTGTGCATTCTATGGATGGTCAGATGAGCCTTGACTGTCACACGGGGCCATTAAAATTTGTCAGAATTGGTTGACTTAGTTTAGAGCTGTGCCAAACTGAATTTGCTATAGACAGATATCTGGAAGAGTTCTGCGTTACAGGCTGACTAGAACAGTTCAGCTATTAACTAAAATCCTAGCTAAGGTTATCAGAGAAATTATATTACTAAAGTAAACAAACACAGTGTCAGCCACTAATTTAGACCTCTAGCATCTCCCAATTTTGTACCTGCAGAAAAAAGGAAGAGTTAACATATGACATCAAATATTTTGTATTGAGGGGGAAAATTACTATCAAAACTCAATCTTAAACGTTCACATAGACATCCCTGAGCAGGTAAAAAAGTGGCTTGTGTTTTGTCTACCAAAGCTACCACTTCTCTCTGACAGCATTCACCATCTTGTAAGTCATCTGCCTTTTTTGTGAGTCCATATTCTGTCTTCTAGGTTCCTCACATTTAGGAATTATACAAATAATTTCTTTCCTAGGCAATTGTATTTCAATGAAAAGTCAACCATGAAAGAAATACCTATCTTAGGAGGACTTTAAAATTGCAGTATCTTGGTGACACATGACAAAAAAAGCTGGAAACCGTTGCTCTATGCTGTGCAGACAGACCTGTATGCCTAATTTTGAGGATGCTCAAAATCCATTAAACTAAATGGGACTTATCTAAATCCAAGGAAATGTCAGAACACAGACAACAAACTCTAGATAAGAGAAAGATATCTACCTTCTTTTGTGATTCTTTACTTACAGACCTTTTCCTGACTTCAGAGAAAATGTCATTGCTGTCCACATATATTAAAAATAGACCAATTAAAAATTATATCATCAAAGATCAGGGAAGCATCATCTGAGCCAACCAGTCTTTTAAGTCTTGATGTCTGAGTCTCCCTTGCTCTCACTTTAACTGACTGAACATCTTTCACAGTATGCTAATAACAGGGAGAAGACCTTGTAACAAAATCTGAGTGGTTAGGATATTCACAAGGGTGGAGGAGGGAACTAGCTAGAAACACACATGCCTCACACTTCTTTGAAGCACAGCATCCCAAATATCTTTTGCAACCATGTTTTACAAGCAGCTACTCTATCAGGGCCTTTAGGTGAGGCAGAGCTTTAAACCATTTTGGAAGTAACAGGACTCCATTTCGTGAATGGTTTTTAACAAAAGCTTCTTGGACCAAACTGGCTGAGCAGTCATTGTAAGGGTTTCACTGCTGCCTAACTTGAATTTATACGTATGTGAATTAATACCTGTAAATGATCACAGACTAGCTTTAGATAGTTTCAGATCGATAAAAAGGCAGTCTGATAGAGAATTAAGTGCAATCGAATAAGTAAATTTTAAAAAAATAATAAATTAATTAATTAAATAGAGAATAAAACTCCATTTACCTTCACAGTGAGGGATATCATTGCTCCATCCATCTGCCTGACATTCACGGTAATTTCTTTGGCTGAGCATCTGGTATCTTACCAAAAAAAAGTAAACAATGCTAAAATACAGTTTCATTATGTGACAGAAACAACAGTGCTGCTGTTCTTGAAGCAAAGGAAGTAGGTGTCAGATGTTCCAGCACAGAACAATCAAAATGTGACAAAACAGAGTAGTTTTTTGATCTGCATGTCTCCTATTTGTTTTTCCTTAATTGCATATGTGAAAATATAAAATAAAATCAGAAAGTAGGAAAGAATTAGTAAGAAGGCTTCTTCATTACAGAGATAGCAAGCTCTGGCTACATAATAAATAATCTAGGGGCAATTTGCACAGTCAGCAGCAAGGAGAATAAAGCTCCTGTTCCTTCTCTTCTAGTATGGCTGAAAGCCATGTGACAGCATCCACATAGGACTTAATCCAAACCATATGTGTCATGCTTTTATGAGGAAGTATTATCTTAAGTTTGAAGGCAATATGGCCACAATGCCATGGCTTCTGCTTGGTCTGAAAGGCAGTCAGAGGAAGTATAGATGGTCTGAAATGACAGTGAGGAATGGAAGTTAAGGGATTAAGAAGAATATTGCTTATGGAGCTCTCTTTGTGAAACTCAGACTAGATTCCAGTAATATAACAACAGCAAAATCATGGCTAAACCACAGTACCATGCTGAGAGCTGATTTGTGTTTCAAGAGGAAAGAATCCAATCACAGGCATACTTAACTAAGCACAATACCACGTATTCAACTTGCTGCAGTTTTCATTGGAGAAGGTAAATAGAGGCGGAAGGGAGAAGAATTTCTTTCAAACGTTCAGTACAGACACACTAGTGAGTCTACCAGAAATGTCTTCCTTCAAACATTTTTTACAATACATTTTACTTCATAATGCAAAAAATGATTGAAGTAGGATTGGCGAGTTGTGGTTCTGAAGAGGAGATTGTTACATGGCCTAATGACTTCTCTAACACAGCTGCATCCTGGCTACCTACTGACAGCACAGACTCCAGCATACTGACCTGCACTTCCATCTGAACTGGCTGGCTCATGGAGTCATGATGCAGCTTTACAGACAGGCCACTATTTTGTTTTCTACTCAACAGCCATGATTTCAAGTTAGATAAAGCCTTACGTATTTTAGACACTTTGGATGAAGCATCAAGTGCATGAGTTCAGTTACTCCAGTAGCACCAGACAAGAGAACAAGTTATCTTTAGTATTTACTGTAATGGCAGAAATTCAAATTCAACCATAAGCAAGTATTGAATATCAGTAAGATGCTTTACAGAGAACAAATCTATAACTGACATTATAATTAACACCTTATGTTAATTGCCATACATTGAATTAAACAAATATTACCCATCATTACATCTGTACTCAACTCTGGCACCAAATACAAATTCACTTCCAGCAGTAAGTTCAAAGGAACCAAACTGAGTATCTCCAGGATGCCCACAGGGCTTATCTGGTAAAAAAAAAAAAGAAAAGAAGATGATGATGACGAAGAGGAAAAAAAAATGTACTTGCACCATGCACAGGAATGTGAAAATGTAAAAGACAGCATTTTCTCAGTAACTAGTAGTGAGTACAGGCCTTTCAAAAATTCAAAAATGCTCAGCGTTAGTTTGATTAATGCCCCCCTTTTTTATCACTGTTTTCAATGAGAACATATTGGAGTATGCATGTGCTTCTTTAAAAAAAACCAAACCCAACCCCCAAATTAGCTGGTTTTATACCTTTAAAAAGGCTGAGTGCATCTTAGGTTTTGTGACAAATTTATGGCAAAGTTTTATGCAATTTGTGACATAAACTTGTCCAAAGCTTCCACTAGAGAATCCATCCATGATTGGAAATGAAATCTGATGGGGAATGTGCTAAGGAAAGAGAGGTGATCTAAAGTCACCGGAGTATTTTGATCCTTAGTGCTTTTTGCTCCAAGTTCCCCATAGGGCATTCTTAACTCTTTACCCTGGATTCCCAAAAGAGTGGCAGAGATGAACATACCATCCCTCTCATTCATCCCCTTTTGATGCTATAATATGAACTGCTAAATAAACTGCACAGCTAAAACCTATCAGCCCTTCTCAGAAGTCTTTCCTGGTCCCTGTTGATCAAGGCAATTTCATTTCTTAGGGCATATCAACATCCTTGTTTTTTTTCCAACCAAGAGGTGTTTCAGTAGGCCCTACACCCACTACAGTGGAATTCAGAGAAAATGGAAAACTCATGATCAGTTTTGCTGTCTACTGTGGCTTATCCTGGAAAAGGAATGTGTTCCCTTAGTCTGTGGCAGAGCTTCCCTTCTCTCTTCCCACCCACCTTGCCTGTGGCAGTAGCTGCTCACTGGGTGGCAGTATTTGCTAAAACATGATACTTAAAACTACACTAAATTTTGTATAGGTTCATGTTCACTGAGTAGTTAAACAAAGAAATCTAAAAGTTGAGACGGTGACTAAATAAAAAATGTAAAAAAAAAAATGCAGCAACTTTCTTAATTAACTCTTACTTATGATTTGTATCAATCTCTGTTTGAATGACACCTGGAACTTAAATTTATATTATTAAATCAAACATTTATATTCTACTATTAAAAATTTTGTATGTTAGATAAGCAAGAAAAAATCCTCATGTTTCTAAAATTCCTTTGTGTTTAAAACTCAGTTATTACAGAAAAGAAGTATCTGCTGACTAACAATAATAAACTTCAATTTCTTCAGTAATGAATTTTATATGAGGTTGTGAGATACTTCTAAACTCTTAGCACAGTACACTAGAGACAATAAATAGAAGCTCTCATCCTAATTGTGAATTACAATTAAAAGAAAAGGCAGGGAAAAATAATACCCCACTTTCAAGAAATTATATCACTTACAGAACTAGTTGAATAAACTGTCTCATGACTGCATTCAGAAGCTAGGATAGTGCTTTCTTCTGCTTAGACTGTAAGTTTCATCAGTATTAGACATTTAGTAAAATATTGGAAGCAAGATTCTAAGAATTCAATAACTGATCTTAATAACATAAATTGGGTTGATAAGGCTGGCCTAGAGTAAGATCTTCTGTCAAGAAAAAAAAAATAAATCTTTTTATCTCAAGAAAAGGAACTTCAAAAAATGTTTCTTATGCATACATACTTCTTAGGAGGATATTTTAAAGACTGCAGAAATAAATAAGTTACAGGTAAAGACACAATGGCAATTTCACATTGACATCACTGGCAAGGAATGTGATCCATCAGGTCAAATGTTTGCTTGTATTTTGCATAAATACTTACTTTTGCATTCTATCACTGGGGGCTGCTGCTGCCATGCCCCATCAACGCACTCAAACATAATTCGTCCAGGTTTTATATATCCAGGCCGACAACCGTATGTTGCTTGAGTACCATGTGGATAGGGAGGTTTGTCCCATATTTTAGTAGGCACTTCCTTAACCCTCCTAGGAGGAGGTTCTTCACAAGCTAAAAATTTTAAATAAAAATATTGGTGACTGAAGCACATGTTACAAACACCAAAACAATTTTACAATAGAAAATGTGCCACGAAATCCCGGGGACATTTGTGATCAAACCAACATAGGTTGTCTATTTAATCACCACAAAATAGGAAACTGCCAAGAATCCACATTTTGTAGGAATATGAATTGACCTTTAGAAGGACATGAAAATAGCCAAGGAAGTGCCAAGAAACCACACGGGACTGTGATGATTCACAAAACAGATTTTAGTTACAAAGACTGAGATGAGATTAGTGCCCTGGTTCTAACCACAGACACCTCCTACCCTTCCATCTGCAGAAGCTGCTCCATGCCTGTCCTTCCATTGCCACAGAGAACAACTCTATGCACTCTGTAGAGTTTCCTTTCAAACTGTTTTCTTCTCCAACCACCACCATCTTTACTGACATTACTTTTATGTGTCATTTGATCAAATTCTGTCAAATCTCCTCTCACCTTTACATTGCCTAAACTTTCTCTCCAGCCTCAGATCACCTGATATTCCAAAACTTCTTTTCTCTTGTCCATGAGATTACGAATTACAACAAATGAGCCTGAATCAATTTAATTAAAGAGTTCCTCAACAGCTTGAGAATGAGAAAAGCCAGACTAAAGCAGAAAGAAACAAATGTTGGGAAGCTGTTAATGAAAGACTAAATGATTTTGTTAAGAAACAATTTTTTTAGTTGTTTATAATTATTGAACTAATTTCAGTGACTAATTTTCAGTGCCTGGGTGACTGAAACGTACTCATTTGGAAGGCTGAAGCTTTACCCAGAGTAACAGAGCCTGAACAGTCTAGCCAATTAGATGCAATGAAGTCTGGTTTCCATCTGAACAGGAAAGGTGAGAATTCATCAAGAATAAATAAAAGAAACCCTGAGAAATGGA